AAATTATTTTGGAATCATAAAGAAATCAAGCAGTCAAGAAACTATAATGGCAAAAAACTACTTCATCGATTCAAAATTGAAAATAAAAAAAATGGAGAAATGAAACCTAGCTCTGAACAAAAGAAACAAAATCATTTTAAATCTTCAAAAAAACAAAGAGAAACATGGCAGATACTAGGTAGATACCTTCAAGCGATTAGACAAAGGGGCGCCCTAGAATCGGCGCTATAACTCAAGGACCATGCGAGGGTCGAGCTCAACGGCAATGACCATCTTACCGGCTTCAAGAAGCCTTTTTGTAAGGTCACCGGTATTAGGACTGATCTCAAGGATGATAGCAGTGCTCTTGATTCCTGCTTTTTGTACAATTGTGTCAACCAACAAAGGGTTCTTGAGAATGTGCTACCCTTTGGATTTGTGAAACGATATCCCTCCCTCCTTAGTAGTGATTCAATGCTGCCCTTGGACCTTTTTGTTTCTCCTTCTTTATCTTACCTCTTGTCATGTTGGGGGATGGTTTATAGGCCTATTACCTGTTAGTAATTTTGCGAGAGTAAGCAATGGCTGAAAAATTTTTTTTAAAAAATTTCCTTCTTCCCAACATTATTAGAACCAAATAATATTTTGCCACCCGAACTACAATAAAATATAAAATACAGAATTCTTATTAAAGATATTTTTTTAACAAAATTACATGTCAGGGGGATTCGGAGAGTGGGAGAATTGAATCTAAGTTTAATGAAAAATTTTATTATGATCAGAGCATTTCAATCAAGTAATTCTTTTGACCGAAAAAAACTATTAATTCAGACAAATAGAATAGCCGAATATCATATTTGTTTGTGAAAAAAATAAAAAAAGCATACAATTTGGTCATATTTGACTAATGTTGAATAGCACTTGATTAGATCAAGTACACTAACCGAATAAAAATGGAAAAATATCTACACTTATTTCAACATTAAATATTAATAAATAACATAAAATATTATTAATTCGGTCAAAAAATTGACCAAAATAAAACTCTAAACCAATTTGACATGAACCAAGTCACGGTTCTAAACTTGCAAAGCATGAGAAATCTGCAAATTAGATTTCCTGCATGTTTCGGCTAGGTAGACTGATCAAAATATGCAAGAAATCTGCAAACCAAATTCCTTGCATGTTTCAGCTAGTTTGCCTAACCGAAACAAGCATGGAAAATCTACAAACCAGATTTCCTGCATGTTTCAATTAGGCATATTAACCAAAACAAGCATGGGAAATTTGATTTGCAGATTTCCCCATTTCCCATTGCATTTTGGGCAATATTTCTAACCGAAATATGTATGCATTTTCAATTTCCCCACAAAACCTCTACTCTTTCCTCTCATTTTGTCTCCTCTTAACTTTCTCACTAAGTCTTGGTTGGAACTAGACACTAAGAGTTGCTACTGCTTGATTTGGTCAATATTTAATAGGTTTTTTTTTATGCTTTTGAGTTAAAGAAGGTATGATTAGCTACAATCTTCCTCTTCTTTTTTTTTTTTCTTTTCTTTGACCATTTTTTTGTAAAATTTTGGATAATAATTCACTTTCAACTATAGTACTTAATTACTACAACCAATTGTGTTCCACTACCTTGTGTCCCAATCTATTATTCTACCTCGTTAATTTGGGTTGAGGTGAGTTAAATTTTATGTCTTAATTTTTTTCTCAAATAATTTATATTTAATCTAAAGATTTTAATGTATTTAAATGTGCTTATTTTTTTTCTTCTATCATGATTTTCATTTCCATCAGTATGGTTTTTACCTTTCACAATTTATTAATTGATTTTGTTGTTATTTTTTTAGGTGCATCTATCACTCTCAAATCATTAATTTCTTCTTGATTTCTCTAAATTACAAGTTCGTCTAACTGCAAATATGCTGTATACACTTTTTTTCCTTTATTTTTTTAGAAATTTAGTTTAGAAAGAATTAAAAAAATTTGTGATTAGTAATTCGTAAAATATAATTAATTGATTAATTGATTGATTAGATTGAAATATGATTAAATTGTGTAACCGATTGATAGATTATAATTATAGTAATTAATTGATTGATTAATAAATTATGATTATATTCTTTAATTAATTGATAAATTATGAGTAGTTATTAATTAGTAAATTGTTATTAAATTATTTAATTTATTGAGAAATTATAATTATACTGATTAATTAATTGATTAGTAAATTATAATTATAATCTTTAATTGATAAGTACACTACAATTAATTAAATTGATTAATTGATTTAAAATTATAATTAATTATAATTTTTATAGTTGATTGATTAGTAAATCATAATTACATATTTAATTGTTAAGTAAGCTATATGATTAATTAAATTAATTAATTAATTAAATCAATTAATTAATTAAATCAATTAATTGATTATAAAATTTTGATTATATTATTTAATTGATTGGTAAATAATGATCATATTAATTAATTGATTGATTTGTAAATTATGATTATATTGATTAAAAATAATAATTATATTGATTAATTGATTGATAAATTATGATTATAGTACTTAATTGATTGATTAGTTAATTATAATTATATTTTTTAATTTATAAATAAATTATAATTAATTTAATTGATTAATTGATTGATTAGTAACTCATATTTACATTATTTAATTGATAAATAAACTATGATTAATTCAATCAATTAATTGATTATAAAATTATGATTATACTATTTAATTGATTGGTAAATTATGAAGATATTAATTAATTAATTGATAAATTATGATAATAGTGATTAATTGATTGATTACTAAATTATAATTATATGCTTCAATTGTTAAGTAAATTATAATTAATTAAATTACTTAATTGATTAATTGATTAAAAATTAAAATTAATTACAGTTATTATTATTGATTGATTAGTAAATCATAATTACACGTTTAATTGCTAAGTGAACTATGATTAATTAAATCAATTAATTGATTA